ATTAATTATGGAGATAGAATTGTTGCTTAATTCCAAATAAATAGATTATGATCCACAAATAAATGTAAAGAGATGAACAAAAATGAAACATATTGACAAATATATTGAATGAGATCCACAAATAAATCTTAAAGTTTCACAAACATTAATTAAATTCCCAAATAAATAAAATGAGATTTGCAAATGAAAACATATTCACAAATATATTTGTCACAACCACAACTTTGCCTGGCATTTATTTGTGAATCGCGTCCTGTAGATTTGTAGATAGCTGCACGCATTTGTGAATCGCGTCTTGTGCATTTGTAGATAGCTGCATGCATTTGTGAATCGCGCCCTGTGCATTTGCGAATTGTGAAACATTTCTTGCGTCAAGACGTGCTGACAATCCACAAATACGTGGACTCCACCCACCATCTACTCAAGCCAATCAGATAACAGCCACATTTCGCTGACCAATCGTAGCACGATCTCGCTTTACATTTATTTATGGATCGTAATCTATTTATTTGGAATTAAGCAACAATTCTATCTCCATAATTAATGCACTTTATTTCTAAAGCAGTCTCAGAGTGTCTTTCATAAGGGGTTTTAGACAGAAGAGTGACAGTTGAGCCATTAAAGCAGTGGTGTAGTGGTGCCTGGAGAAGTGGGTATACTCTTAATTTATGCCCCATGACGTGTTATAAACAGTGACGTGTAAAACTAGTCTTGTATATTTAGTTCACCCCAAAATGGGCAAGTAGTATTTGCATATTTTCACTTAACTGCTGCTGCTTGACTTCACGGAGTAAGAATCATTATGAAATTAAAATTTGCCACAGAAGAAGTGCAGATTTTGCAATAATTAAAAAAAAAACAAAAAAAACAAATTGACTGCAGCAATTAACATTTTGTCAGAGCCTCTAGTACAGGGCTGCCCAAACTCGGTCTTTTCATTGTAATGTACTGATTCAAATTAGTAATCAATAATTAACTTATTTTACCACTCTGCGTGCATCCCCTGACATGCTCTCGCGTATGAAGAAGCAGCATCTCTGTCACTGTCGGCAATTGGCGTCCTCTCTGACTGACGGAGCAGGTCTCTCATCTTTTTAAGTGGGAGAACTTGCACAATTGGTGGCTGACTAAATACTTTTTTGCCCCACTGTATATATATATTTTTTTTTATTTATTTTTTTTTTTACATGCGATTGGATTAGCTATTCATGTGATGGACTGTCATGATTTTGCCTAATGCAGGACACTAATGAATGATGCGCATCAGAGGGGATTTAGAAGTGGGTATACGCAAAGCCGACTGATGAAAAAGTGCACTCCACTACACCACTGCATTAAAGGGACCCTGATATTTCATCCAGAAATCTTCATCTAGAATTTTTGATTCTCAGGGCTATAGAGCAGTGGAGGCTTATTGCAAGAGTATGATGGATGGCTTGTTTTTTTCCCACTGGCAGAGTACACCAGCTAGAGGAGGAAAATGGAGAGATGGCAATAAGCATGATCAGACTGAAAGCCCAGACAGAGAAACTGGATGACGTAAGATATTTTTATTATACATAAACTGACTTTTTTTTTTTTTAGGAGAAAATTGAGTAAATTGACCATTGTGATTTAGGGTGAAGGAGATGCAAAGGAGGATGTGCTAATTCTTGTAATGGCACTGTTTGTTTAAATGTTTTTAACAAAATGAATTCCTCACGCCTGTTAGTCTGGAAAAGCAATCTGAGAGTTCTCACTCTTTCAAAATGATGAAAGCTACAGGAAAAAAAATAACTTAAATGATTTTAGCAAATGGCTGCAATATAACAAAGAGTGAAAAATTTAAGGGGGTCTGAATACTTTCCGTACCCACTGTATATATATATTCTTTACAATCTATAAAAACATTTTTTTATTATTCTATAAAAAATATGCATGTTGGTTTGAGTTTGACCAGTCTGAGATTGCAGAAAATGTTTGACAGCTGAAAAAAAAAGAACAACATGAACATATGATTATGAAAGTGTTTGTGAAAAGTGTTTTCTAAATGTCTATAGAACTAGAAGTGTTCATAGGTAATAAATAAATAAACAAACAAACAAATCAAGGCTTTGATGGTATCTGTTTTAATAAAATAAAAATAAAATAAATAAAAATAAGTTTCATCAAACTTATTTTTAAATATTAGTTCACAAAAAATGACCCAATAGTGATTGTACAGATAAAAACCTATATGACCTATAATTGACTGTATGCATAAAAATGTTGTTTGTGTATGTAAAGGAGAGACAGCGTATGACAGATAAACTAGAGGATACAAGCTTGCGGTTGAAGGATGAGATGGATCTGTACAAGAAGATGATGGACAAGCTACGACAGAACAGAAATGAGTTTCAGAGGGAAAGAGATACTATGCAGGAGGTAAGACTGTGCTAAAGTTTCCAGTGGGCAAAAATGTACAGTAAATTTCAGAAAGGCCAGCAAAACAGTAAAATGATTCAGCAAACTGTCAAAAGCTAAGGTTGTCTACTTGTGCGTCAATTGTTTTAAGATGTAGTCACCCAAAAATATTTAGAGATCGAAAAGAGTGGCAGAGCCTTGGGCAGCTTTAGTTGCCCTCAGGCTTAAATGGATTGTGTACTTTAAAAACCACAACTGAAGATAGCCTAAACATGCACACATACAAGTCAAACACTGAGAGGAAGTTACTCAAACACAGAGAAGACTAAGAAGCATATTCTATTCACTAGTATAATTAAAAGAATTTATTAATTTAGTCCAGAGCTACCGTTATGTTTTACTCTGCCTGAAGGCTATACAGCACTCATGTACTTGACTTTCAAATATAAAATAGTAATGTTATCAGTTCAGTAGCTTAGTGATTTTTCTGTTTCATTTATGTTCAGCTAATTGAGGACCTTCGGCGAGAACTGGAGCACCTCCAAATATACAAGCTGGAGGCAGAAAGAATGGGGCGTGGCCGCAGATCTTCCATTAGCCTATCAGAATACAGCACTCGAACACGTGAGAGTGAGTTGGAACAAGAGGTCAAGAGACTAAAACAGGTGAGAGAGATGGAAAGCTGGTAACTTGATCTTTTAGCAGGTGTATTTCCTATGGTGAAGGCTACATAGTTCTTTGTAGTCAGATCTTTGAGAAACAGAATAAGTGCTAATTATTTTCCATTTTCACAAAACTATGCCTATATATATATATAAAAAAAAAAATTCTTTCTTTATCAATTTTATTACCTTTTAACTTCTTGGAATTGGATGTGATATAACTGGAACAGTGTAAACATAATTGTACACGTGAGAGTGAGTTGGAACAAGAGGTCAAGAGACTAAAACAGGTGAGAGAGATGGAAAGCTGGTAACTTGATCTTTTAGCAGGTGTATTTCCTATGGTGAAGGCTACATAGTTCTTTGTAGTCAGATCTTTGAGAAACAGAATAAGTGCTAATTATTTTCCATTTTCACAAAACTATGCCTATATATATATATAAAAAAAAAAATTCTTTCTTTATCAATTTTATTACCTTTTAACTTCTTGGAATTGGATGTGATATAACTGGAACAGTGTAAACATAATTGTAAACATAATTCAGACACAGTCTCCACTTTTTGTTTAAAAAAAAAAAGCAAAGAAAGCATCAGAAAACAGTGATACCAAAATAAACTCTTTTGTTAATCATCTATTTCTTATTTGATCTTGTTTACTCGGTGTATATGCAGAGGAGCTTTTCCAAGGACATGCCCTTTGACCTCCAGCAGCTTGTGTCTGCTCGGGCACGACTCTGTCCGAGTCTGATGGTAAACTGTAATTCCTTGAGAGTGAGTTGGAACAAGAGGTCAAGAGACTAAAACAGGTGAGAGAGATGGAAAGCTGGTAACTTGATCTTTTAGCAGGTGTATTTCCTATGGTGAAGGCTACATAGTTCTTTGTAGTCAGATCTTTGAGAAACAGAATAAGTGCTAATTATTTTCCATTTTCACAAAACTATGCCTATATATATATATAAAAAAAAAAATTCTTTCTTTATCAATTTTATTACCTTTTAACCTCTTGGAATTGGATGTGATATAACTGGAACAGTGTAAACATAATTGTAAACATAATTCAGACACAGTCTCCACTTTTTGTTTAAAAAAAAAAAGCAAAGACAGCATCAGAAAACAGTGATACCAAAATAAACTATTTTGTTAATCATCTATTTCTTATTTGATCTTGTTTACTCGGTGTATATGCAGAGGAGCTTTTCCAAGGACATGCCCTTTGACCTCCAGCAGCTTGTGTCTGCTCGGGCACGACTCTGTCCGAGTCTGATGGTAAACTGTAATTCCCGTGCAGACTTAAAATCATTTAATTAACCACTAATGTGTTCATTCACAAGGAGTCTATTTTCAGATTATCTGCCAGGCTGGCATGCCTTCTCACTTAACATCTAATATAGCCACACTTTTTGTAGGTTGTAGATTTTGTAGTTCCATGTTCCTGTCAAAAGAAGGGGATAACTACATAATACCACCGAAGTGCTATTATATTCAATATCATCAATATCACCTCTTGCCCACAGCGGAGTTAGAGCCATGTTTCTCAAAGCTTTCTGTTTTCATACCACTCTAATTTTCCATTTCCTGCACTCCACTGATGCTTCAGCCTTAAAAAAAAAAACACTTCTCACCCATGCAAAAATCCATTCACATACTTTGGAGTGATACAAATAGTGAAATCACTCTGTGCTTATTATACTAAATATGTGCACACTCGGACACCGGCACCGCTTGAACAAACAAATTAGAGGGCTGGAACTAATTGTGGTATGAAGTAATATAGCTAATGCAGTAAACATTTAGTAGTGTTTCGTCTTGTGTGTGTATATATGTCTGTTATAAGAAGATCTAATAATTTTTTTCTAATCTAGATTCATTGCATAATCATCTCAAACCAAATCATTTACTGCTTTCTTTTGCCAGCAGAAGCTGGCTAACCAACTCTCTTGGTTCAGTTAACAAGGCCACAATAAGGAAAAGGAAAAGCAGGATAACTTCTCGATCATCTTTTGGGGGTAAATTGTAACTCCTCCCTCTTTCCTATCACAGGAGAACCAGAAACTGAGGGAACAGAATGAAGATCTAAATGGTCAGCTTCTCAGTCTGAGCCTCCATGAGGCCAAAAACCTGTTTGCCACACAGACAAAAGCGCAGTCTCTGGCCATGGAGATTGATCATGCCTCCCGTGACCAGGTAAGAAAAGTAGAGGACTTTGTTTTGAATATTTTAAACAAAAAGTATGTGACTATGATGTACTGATAAAACTGGATAATACTAGTGGAAGTCTGTAAATAAAAACACCTTTTAAATGTGTACCAGTAAGCAATAGAACAGTATGAAGCATGTTTGTTTTTCCTGGAACGTTCTCTGAAAAGGTAAACTTAAAGGAATAGTTCACCCAAAAATTATTTACCCACTTTCATACCCTTCCAGTGGAGGAGAAAAAAACAAACACAAACGAAACCCTACTAATGTTCTGAGGAACAGAAAAGGAGAAATAAAATAGAAAGTGTTCCAAAATGTTCATTAGCATAATGGGACAAAGGTTTTCTAAAACCACCAATAGCTTTGTGTGAGGAACAGGCCAAAATTAAAGTTGTATGTGTGTGTTAATCCTGACCTCCTCAGTAGTTCTCAAATCTTATTCAAAATGTAAAAATTTTGGCAAACTTTCCCTTTTTTTTTTTTTTTTTTTTTTTTTTTTTTTTTTTTTTTTTTTTGGAGACCTGTCCTATACAGTTCTAAACTTGTTTTCATTCCCACAGTTGATGGAAGCCCTCAAGGAACAAGAGGAGATAAACTTCCGACTCAGGCAATACATGGACAAGATAATTTTATCTATTCTGGACCACAACCCGTCTATTCTGGAAATCAAAAACTAAAAGTCTGTCATAAGCTGTTTAGAATCTTAACAGTGGATCTAGAGCTCCCCCTGAGGTAGCACTGAACATCAAATGACTTGTGCCTCTTAATGCACAATAACTACAATGTGCTGGTGTTTTGTGCACCTTTCACTTGCTACAAAAATGTAAAATATACTGGTGAAATATTTCATGCACTTTTATAGGGCATTTGTGCTGCTCTGTACAACACAAGGGAGTTTTTCACTGGAATGTCATTATGGTTACTGAATTGCACCAACTAATATGTGAATATATCACACTGGATGCTCACAGAGTGTATTTGTGTTATATGGATGGTGTATGTTTGCTGAGTTTGCACTGGGGATGTGATGAGAAATGATAAAAAAGAGAGAAATATTTACCTATTTGATGGCCATCGAAGCCTGTCCCATTCAAAGTTGCTGAGTATGAGGAAAGAGACTTTTGTGGGTATACTTGTAATGATTTTGGTGAGCGAGTTTTTGACTGTCTTCCTATTATAAATTGCAAGTGAGGGAACAATGTAAGGAGAGACAAATTAGAAGAATAGAGGAGAGGTAATTGAAACTCAAACTGGAACTTGATAACACTGCCTGTTGTAAAAGAAATCCATTTTAGAGCAGGGCAATGACTTTAGTCTGTGTTTGCAATGTAACGGTGAGATGTTTATTCTGACATGCACTATGTGTGCTTCAAAAGGAAGTGAAAATTCAAGAGGTTGAATGTAAAATGGCATTGTGAATGTACCAAACAAGTAGTATTTCGGGTTATGGGCTTTAGCATAATAGTTTAAGACCTGTCTTTTTGTCAGCTGAATTATGTTCTTAATAGCCTTAAAGGGACTTGCACTTGTTCTTCCAAACTAAAATAATATTGTTGTTCATTTCAAATGCACGATTCTCACAATTTTCTATAATGTGATTTAAATACAAATAAACTTACATCAGATAATGCAGGTCTAAAACACAAAACACTATGACATTTGTGTTCCTATCACAGGAAGGTTTCATATTTTGAATGTCAGACATTTTTAAAATGGTCATTTAAAAAAAAAAGAGTATTCTAAAAGTGTCCCCCACAGTTACACATATCTCTTATTCAGTCAATAGATTGTATGTGATGACAACATAAAGCATCTGATTTATTCTGCTGATCTAGGCATACATTCAGTATATGTGATTCTGTAAATTTCATATTCTCTCACATAAATGCCTCCTATTTCCTTGTAGTATTTGTGCTTTTCACTCATTAGTTAACTCAAGTAAACCTGTTTTTCACAAATTAAATAATTGCTGAGCTATATTACACTTTATACATGTGTGTGGGATTTTTAAAAACTTGTAAATGATGTAAAGAAATGACCTTTTTACTTGTGCCACTCATTGCTTTTTCATTGTTTCTCGGTTTATTTTGTGAATCTCTATCTGATTATATAGTACCGATTATTTCTTATTCTCTTTATATTTATGAAGGAGGCACTGAGAAGGCGGCAGTATTAGTTTTGCTTGTTTACGAGAGAGCAGACTAACTCAGTGGCTCATGATGTCACAACATGCTGAATGGTCACACACTTTAATCCAAAAAAGGGTATCTGTACACTTGCACAAAATGTATACCAATTGCATTTCATTTTCTGCATAAGATTATTCTGAAATGCCTTAGCAATACTTATGACTGGGCTTATTTCTGTTTCGGATCTAAATTAGATCAAGATGTGCATATAGGCATTTACTTTTGCATGTCAGGTGTTACTGAATTTACTGAACTTGAACATAAGAAATTAACAAACTGATGTTCTAAAATAAAGCAATACAAAATTCCATATGTGGCTTAAAGGGTTTGGTATATACAGTACATGACCCTGTATTCAAGACTGATGCAAATAGAATGAGCAAATATTAAGAAAGGTTTATATATGAAAATTTAAATTATGGATCTCGTGACATAAATGTGTCAAGCAAAGACCTAAGGTCATATAGGTCATGATACAATGGATACAGTATTCCAATAATGAAAAAAAAATCATAAACAAGGAAAAGCAAAGCAAAGGATGGCATAGCAGCAATAAACACCTGCTATTGTCATGTCATGCTATAGCCTACAACAATTTACATTTAACAAGTTTTGCAGAAAGGTGGAAATATACGTGGTCAAGTTGCGTTCACTAGAATAGTTGGAACTGTTGTTTAAAAAAAAAACTTCTGCTGGAACAAAGGCTGCATATATGCATAGCATATTTTATGTCATACCTTGAATAACAATAACAATCTTAATAATTGACTGTATATGGTTACTGTTCCTTGTGTCATCATAGCAAAGAAGATGAAATGAAATGGTGAAACACTATTGCTCTTGAGCTGATATTTCTTAGGTAGGCCTAACTTCTGTTCATTGTTCCATTGGGTTGCAAGTTATATTTTGTCTGTATTATATATTTTTTATTTAACACGAAGACGATACTGAACAAACGTTTACAGTCGTAGTTTAACAGTTGACATAACCCAACATAATATATTAAAACAAAAAATTGCATTTATATCTGTTAAACATCTGCAAGTCACGTCCGTTGGCGTCTCTCAGTCTTCGTGACTTTTAGCTCTGGTTAAATGTTATAATGCTCCACTTCATGCTACTCATCACAGAACATTAAAAATGTCTGCGTTCAGAGTACCCAGGCCTCAAAGCGTTCCTGTTCTCAATGAGCCTTTACAACATCTTGCAAAGTTAAATAATGGCAAGAAGAGCGTTTAAAACCTACGGATTACCGCTTTATGGCGTGCTGTTTGCTTTGGCCATTCGAGGGCGCTGCTTGCTTTAGCAGTTTCAATGTTAGCTTAATTGTTTCACTCGGTACTTGCTCGGAAGTTTTATTAAAGAGAAAACTGGACCAGAGTGAACGGCCGTCGCAAGAGCAGCATCATCATATCACTGATTACGAGTAATAGTTCTGACGGGAACGAGGGGGCCGCCGTGAGTTCAAAAATCTGTACACTTCACAAGTTTGTTAATGATGACAAAACGTAAATTAGACAATGATACTCTATCAGTACAAGGGAGACCGGGTTGTTTGGCACGGGGATCATTTTTGGTTTGGATCACAAAAATGCAACGGAAATATTTACATTTTCATCCACATTAAGTGATTTTTAACAAGACGTTAAACGACCTAGACACGGTAAGGTGATGACAACTAACCAACTAAGGAATTAATTGATACAGAAAACGTCAACAAAACCCTTTTCCAAAAAAAAAACGAATTGGGCCTCGCTCAAGTGAATTTGGAATAGTAGTCAATGAAATTTGAATTTAATGTTGTGACAAACAAACAAACAAAAAAAACAGGGTTACTTTTGTGAAAAGCCCAGTAATGTACAGTGGGGAAAATATTTATTTGATCCCCTGCTGATTTTGTAAGTTTGCCCACAAAGAAGGGTCTTTATATGGTAGGTTTATTTTAATGGATAGAGACAGAATACCGACCAAAAAATCCAGAAAAAACACATTATATAAAGGTTAGAGATGTGAAATAAGTATTTGATCCCCTACCAACCAGCAAGAATTCTGGCTCCCACAGTCTGGTTATGTGCCCATGTGGAACACAGATTAATCCTGCCACTTTAAGAAGTTACTCCTAATGTCAGCTTGTTAGGTGTATAAGTTACCTGTCCACACAACCTGTATCTTCTATTCCAACCTCTCCCACCACCATGGGCAAGACCAAAGGATGTCAGAGACAAGATTGTAGATCTGCACAAGGCTGGAATGGGCTACAAGACCATCAACAAGCAGCTTGGTCAGAAGGAGACAACTGTTGGAGTGCTGTGGTCAGATGAGACAAAAATTGAGCTCTTTGGCATTAACTCGACTCACCGTGTTTGGAGGGAGAGAAATGCTGACTATGACCCCAAGAACACCATCCCTACAGTCAAGCAAGGAGGTGGAAACATTATGCTTTGGGGATGTTTTTCTGCTAAGGGTATGGGATGACTTCACCGCATTGAGGGGCAAATGGACGGGGCCATGTACTGTAAAATCTTGGACGAGGACCTCCTTCCCTCAGCCAGAACACTGAAGATGGGTCATGGATGGGTCTTTCAGCATGACAATGACCCGAAACACACCGCCAAGGCAACAAAGGAGTGGCTCAAGAAGAAGCACGTTAAGGTCATGAAGTGGCCTAGCCAGTCTCCAGACCTCAATCCTATAGAAAATCTGTAACTTCGAGTTGCCAAACAACAGCCAAGAAACCTTAAGGATTTAGAGAGAAGCTGTAAAGAGGAGTGGACCAAAATCCCTCCTGAGATGTGTGCAAACCAACTACAAAAAACGTCTTACCTCTGTGCTTACCAACAAGGGTTTCTGCACCAAGTGCTAAGTCATGTTTTGCTTGGGGATCAAATACTTATTTCACTCACTGAAATGCAAATACATTTCTAACCTTTATATAATGTTTTATTTTTTATTTTTTTGGTTGGTATTCTGTCTCTATACATTAAAATAAACCTACCATAAAAATTACAGACCCTTCATTTCTTTGTAAGTGGGCAAACTTACAAAATCAGCAGGGGATCAAATAAATATTTTCTCCACTGTATCAAACACTACCAGAATAGAATGTTCATGTGTTGTTTACACATTTTTAACATTGCAACATGTTTAACATAGGCCTAGCATCCGGAGGAGACCTTAACTTTAAAGGGGTCAAAAAGAAGAAATGCGCCCATACAAGTGGAGACCAAAAAAAGTATATCGAAGATTCCCTCAGATGGGTAACAACAACATCAAGCCACAGACCCCTAGTCAGGAAGAGGACTGGGAAAAGGAGTTAGAGGAGATTTCACAACGCATTGAAAAGCAGAAAGAGCCTCCTTATGGTAATTTCATTTCCAAATAAAGTTTTTTAGAATCTCTATTCCATAAAAATAACTTTGTAATCAACAATTGATGTGGCTCGACATTAATAGCTGTATTTTTAACACAGATCCTGGAGATGATTTGAGTACTGGAGTAAGGGAGGGGTTTCACTGTAATGTCCAGAATGGCCCAAGCTCAAGCCAGGAACACTACAGCCCAGCAATTCACCACATTAAACCTGTGAAATGGGTCCGCTTTATTTATGCTGTAGTGGATGACCAGTTTGCTGATGCAGAAGAATAAGGCTGTTGGTTCCTTGTATATGTGCTTCCTTTCAGGAAAAAAAAAAAGTTTATATAAAATTTGTTTATAAGCTACTGAGCCCAGGCTAATGTTTTAAGTACTTTTGTTGTTTTTAGTGGCCTCTCAGTATTTGATGTTAATTTATAGTTATGTTGATCAAATCATTGCTGAGCATTCATATTTGCAAGTTTATTTCATTCATTGATTTTTGCCAGTTGAAGCCAATTTGTTTTAATCTCTAAGCACAATTTTCAATTTGATTACTGTTTATCTATTAAATACTGCATTACAATGTTAATCTGAATTAAAACAAAGTGATAGGAAGGAATGTTGTTCTTGTGTAGACTTAAAGCACATTAAAGAATTATTGGAATTGAACTGAAAATGAGCATTCGTTTGTGCAACGTGTCATTTCACAAGTGTTTCCACTAGGTGGCAGTATAAGCTTAGTCTTCAGGAAAGCTTTGTCTGAATTGAGCATTGGTACTGATCTCTTGATAGAGTCAAGCAAGCTCTGTTGTTCTTTACTTTTACTTACAGATCTCAAATGTCTATATCTAAAAATCATTCTGGGATAACATGAATCATCAGCTTTAACATAAATATTTCCTGTGCTGCTGTCAAAAACTAAAAGGAAGAAGAAAATCAAATTAAATTATTTTGTACAGCTGAGTCCAATTGTAATACTGATTATTATATACTCTACTGTTCAGAAATTTGAGTTCAGTTTTTTTCCCCCTCAAGATTTTTTTAGAAAGAACAATGTTTTTCCTTAATTTCACAATTTGTGGCTGACTAAATACTTTTTTTCCCCACTGTATATATATATACAGTTTGTATATTGGGAAGATAATTTATTTTGATGATTTATTGACCCTCTTACCACAGCCTGCCCAAATACCTTTCTGACATTTAACCATCATCTGAGACAGCCTCTATATTATCTCATTTTTTTGATCCATTATAACTGTGAAGAACAGACAGTAAGTAACAAGTTAGTCAGAAACTCTACAAACTCTACCATTATTTGTAATCTAGACCAGTTTTTATTAATACTACATTATTCTGGGCTGAAAATGTGTTGCACACAGTCAGTTGTACGTTTTGATTTTGTACAATGCTTTTATCTTGCACTCATATCTTACTGGGGTTTAGTGCAGCTGGCTTTTTGGGCAAAAGTACAACAAAGATTTAATGTCTAAAACATTAAGGGTGTGATGTTTAGAAATACCTGGCAAGTGTAAAGGCACGTTTATTGGTACAACAGTTTATTTCCTAACTCAAATGGACCATAAAATGGTGCAATGCTGTTGTTTTGTGAACAGTGCAGGCCTTCCAAGTAGGCCAGCCTTTTTGCATAGTCATGATGGTGCATGTTTCAGAGTAAATGCAGTTTCAATCTATTATAAATGGGTTGTTTGAAGTGCTTCTACTTAAGGGCTTTTGCAAGAGTCTTGTGTGACTTAGATACCTCATTTAACACCCTTGTATCAGAATCCCAGTTGTCGGCAGGTTTGCTGTAGTTCACATGCAGAGCCAACAGAGGGTGGTGTTCTACAGGTGTGTGGCCCTGAGATGTTGAGATGCAGAGTTTGTCTGCAGGCCTGTGCGCAGGGAGCTGTGACGCTAGTCTCCATCACTGTCTAGACCAGCACCAGGCAGCTGTCTGGGTCAAGCTATAGACTACTGATACTTGTGACTGTATAGAGTGTGAAAAAGATGCTGAAGAGGGAATAAAATAATGAAATAACATCCATTTTTTCATACTGTTCATTCATTATAATATTGTGATGCCTAAATTCATTTGTGGCATTTAAAATAAATCATTTTAGTCTTTAGTGTTGCATTTTTTATTTAATTGTAGACAAAATAGTATTCAATTTTAATAAAGCAGTTTATTGTAAATAATTATCGTCTTAGCATATCTGCTAGAATTTTAAATTTCTTAATTTTTATTAACAGTGTTTATTATAAAAGATTTAGCCGTAAACATATATATATTGTATATGCAATAACATACATATATATATATATATATATGTGTGTGTGTGTATGTATATATATATATAAAACCTTGTAGCAGCATCTCCCAAGTAAAAATAAGGTGCATTAAAAAAAATACTTAAATACAAGCAAGTACATTTGTAGTACATTCTTATTTTTTTGTGCTAAATAAAATTGTAGAAGTGATACACTATAAATACACTAATTAAAAGTATATTTCTACTTCAGTAGTACTTCAGTGCAATTGCAAAAGTATACTAAATACCAGTGATATTTAAATTGATTTTTAGTGCATTGAAATAAAGTACAGTACTGCAAAAATATACAGAGGACTTTTATTAGTGTATTTCTTAAAAGTGTGCTTTGAATTATTTAAAAATGAGATCAATGTTAGTACACCTTTATATAGTTATCCTAAATTTAAATTAAATAGATTTTATTTAAAATATATTAGTAATGTAATAGTTATAAATACATTATTATTATTATTATTATTAAGTAATTAAGTACATTACAAATTGATTTTAAGTGTAGTCAGATAAAGTACCAGAAGTGTTTTATAATTGCATTGCTTAAAAGTGTGCTATGGTCACTTTACATACAATTTTAATGGGGTTTTATATATACTATTACTAAGTTCTATTTGGACTTTCATGAAAAATACAGTAGAAATGTATTACTTAAGTAAAAACCTATAGGTTACTATGCTTAGGCTACTATAAATGCTCTAATAGCACATAACTGGATTATTCATTCATATGTGTTTAGACGTGTACCATAATTCACAATTAACCAGTAAGTATACGTTTAGCATAAAGTACTTGAAGTGCTATATTTTTAATGTGTACACTTAGATGTTCTTAAGATTATCTTAAGAAGTACTAAAGAATATTTTTTAATATATTAAGTACAGAATTAGTTCATGAAAATAGAGCATTTTAAGTAAATTATGGAATTGTACTAAGTATACTGAAATAAAGTGAACAAAATCAAGTTCCACCCTACTTTTTTCTCATTCGAGAAGCAGTTTCACTCAGAAATGTCACAGAACATAAGGAAAGGATGTGACATCCCATACTTGGAATTTGTGCTCTGCATTTAACCCATCCAAGTGCACACACAGCAGTGAGTAGTGAAACACGCGCGCACACACACACACAACATAAATACACACCCGGAGCAGTGGGCAGCCAATGCTGCGGCACCCGGGGAGCAGTTGGGGGTTCGGTGCCTTGCTCAAGGGTCTCACCTCAGCCATGGTATTGAGAGTGGAGAGAGCACTGGATATTCACTCCCCCCACCTTCAATCCCTGCTGGACCTGAGACTCAAACCTGTGACCTTCGGGTTACAAGTCCATCTCTCTATCCATTAGGCCACGACTGCCCCAGATGATTGCAATTTCTGTTTAATGCCGGCTTCAAAAATGGTGCATCCTTAACTGTGTCTTCCGGTATATCCATGACTGCTGTCCGGGGCACTTAATGTAGATGTTCTCAGTATCTAATGATCTGGAAGGCCAAGAGAAGGCTGCAGAAGGCTGGCTTTGGTCACCAGGCATAAACCCACATCCTCATTTCCAGGATTACTTAGACCTCTGAAAAGGGCATTTCCTCCCACAGACGCTTTAAGGAATAGTTCACCCAACAATGAATCCCTCAGGCCATTCAAGATGAGTTTGTTTCTTCATTGGAACAGATCTGGAGAAATGTAACATTCCATTACCTGTGCAGTGAATGGGTGCCATCAGAATTAGAGTTCAAACAGCTCACAAGCATCTCCACAAGTAATTGACATAACTCCAGACCATCAATTAAAGTCTTGTGAAAACTGTGTTCTTGTAAAAAAAAAAAAAAAAAAAAAAAAATCTATCATTAAGCCATTTTTAACTTTAAACATTAGCTTCAGGCTAAAAGTCCTTTCTCTAGTAAAAAAAAATAGTCTCAGCTGACTCAAGACAGAAGTATGCACAAGTCAATTCTAAATAATATATGTAGGTGGATGTTGATGTGAGAAGACAACGATATATATATCAACGATATATAAAAAATTTTTTACTGAAGGAAGTGTTATTATATGGACTATTATATGACCATAAGTGGCGGTTTAAAGTTTAAAATGCCTTGATGGATTTGATTCTTACAATAATGTAATGCTATATTGTTATGCTAAATTTCTCCATATTGTTCAGATGAAGAAACAAACTCATCTACATCTTGAATGGCCTGAGGGTGAGTAAGTCTTCAGGAAATGTTCAATTTTTGGTGAACTATTCCTTTAAGGACAGGAAGAATGTTTTTAAGTATGCCCTCTTGTTTTAAGAATGTACTTCATTCATAAATCTTGTGTCAGTCTTGGGGCTAATACATTTTTTTTTTCAGTGATTATGTCATTGAATTCCTCTGGGAATATTACCCTAGTGACAGGGTGCTAGCAGGTAGTCAGGTTCTAGTTCCCTTTTACTGACATCAACAGTCTTGTTATGATTCCAAGCAGGGTTCCGTTCTGTAACCGCATGACATTGTCTGCTCTCTGCATTCGGTCTCCCTGATTTCGACAATAAATGTCCATGGTCTGTCTCTGGCACACTTTCTGGCCTCCTCTGCACAGCAGACTTAGCAACAGGATTCGAACAGAATGGAGGACAACCCATTGCAAGGTCACTCCTCCCGATGCAGTGCTGAAAGGTGTGGGCAACCTTTTAACATTCATAAAAGACAAAAGAGATCTTTGGGTGTGAACACGTATTAGAATGAAATAAAAAAGAAGAAAAGTGCATGGGGAAGTGGGTGTGAACACCTGTGAGAAAGAAATATAGAGAACAACATCAAATCACCCTTTCAGCTTACTACATACCAGTGATGAAAAATAAATGTAAAAACTTCTTTCCCCTCAATTTATTCCTGTCATTTCAATATTTATTAAAATTTATTACAAACCTTTGCTTACATTTTCCTTCCTTACTTTCCTTCCTATTCCAAAATACATACTCCTAGAAAAGGTGTATATTCAAGTAATTGTATGTTTTAACGTACCTAAAATTCATTTTGATATTTTTAGGGGTATAAAGAAAAAATTGTGGCAATGCAACTGTCCTGTAGATGAAGAAAAAGCCTCATTAAAGAGAAAAATGCAATTCTTGAAAAGTGAACTGTGGCATGTGTTCCAACCAATGTGCAGGGACAAATAACCCATAAAACAGGAGAAATGTCAGGCTTTTTAGTGACTTTTTAGGTTAGTTTTTAGATTATAAAATGTCAACACAAAAATAAAAATATATATTTTGCCTTGACAATATAATTAT